GCCAATCCTGGGCCCAAGAGCTGTGTATACGCCCTCCTGGCTTGGCCAGGGAGGCATATACACCGCTCCTGGGCCCAGGATGGGCCTGGCCAAGAGCAGTGGATATGCATAGATCTCGTCGCCCTAATATAGGGATGCCGGCACGGTCGGCCCCTGCTCCCCCCCCGGGAGCCCGGGGCCCGAAAGTATATACCGGGCCGTCGGGGAGCCTCGGTCGGGAGGGGCTCTGGCCTGTGGCCGTGCCTCTGCACGGTCTGTCACCACCCACCAAACCACCCCAACCCAACCCGAAGGTTCAGATTTACCCTCGATTTCTAGTGGGGGGGGGTCCGGGAACATCGAAAAAACACATATGGAACCCATACCCCCCCTAACCCGAAATTCGGGTCTTCGGGTTGGGTTGGGGTGGTCTGGTAGGTAGTCACTGGCGCTCCGGCCCGGCGTGCAACGCCGCTGGCCCCGGAGCCACCCGGCGCGTCGGCGCGCCACGGCGTCCGCGTCCCCGGCGGGCAGCGGCAGCGGCCCGAGCTCCTCCGAGCCTCCCACCCCGCGGAGCGGAGCGACGCGCCAGCCGCTCGCACGGCACGCAGCGGGGGCGTCGGTCGAGGGGTGCGCCCAGGAGGCTTCGGGCCCCGGAGGGTTCCTGACCCGATTGGCGGTGCCGTGATGTGCGTGGTCAGGCTTCCCTTGCTGCGCCGCCAGCTTTCAGGCCATGGATTCCTTGTCCAAGGGCTCCTCGTCCAATGCCCTCCCCGTAGCGTGTCGCCGGGGCCGCCGCGACGCTTGGAGCCAACGCTCGGATTTGAGGAGGTTTGGGGGCACCTCCTCGATGAGGTGGCGAGCCCCCGAGTGGTGGTGCTATTGTTCAGGGGGAAGAAAACGCACAGACACAAGCAAATGAACGTCGATCCCCAGGAGAGCATTGGGTAGTATGGGATGTGGAGGGGAGGACGAATGAATCCTACTCGCAAATTTCCCGTGACACACGGGTGTCGGCAAAAACGTGTATGTGGTGTTGGATCTTCGTTTGAAGAAAAAGTGGCCCCTCACCCAGATCGTGGCCTCATAGGGAGGCCAGTCGAAATGTGGACCCAGAACGCGGCATCCCCAACTGCTTATGGCTGGGCCCTTGGTCAGGATAATTAGTAGCTTTCGGCCTCCAGGGGGCCTCGCGGGGCCTCGGGGCCGACAAGAAAGGACTCAGGATGAAAACCGGCCCTGGGGAAAAGGTCTCGACTTCTGGGGACATCGTGCTGAACAAATCCGGACATCGTATGTCTGGGAAGCCCCCCCTCCGCCCAGAAGAACTCTAGGCCGGTGTACCTTGAGCTTCTGGAGCTTCGGGGAGGCTGTTGCCCCCGCCCCTTCTTCTAGGCCCCCTCGCCCTCCTCATCCTTCTCGGCGGCGCGCCAAGGGGGGAAGAGAGCGGGGGCGGGCCTTCTCACAAGGCGGCGGAATTTCGGACCCAGACCCCCGACGTCATGATTTGTTCACAACGTCGACCCCCAGTGATCTGGACCCATTCACCGGGACCCGCTTTTCATCCTGAGTATTGCGAAGGCCTTACGGCTGGCGCCGCCGACCTTGGACGACGACGACGACGACGACGACGACGACGACGACGACGACGACGACGACGACGACGAAAACGACGAAGACGACGACGACGAAAACGACAACGACGACGACGACGACGACGACGACGACGACGACGACGACGACGACGACGACGCTGACGTGGGTCAGAGTCTGCAGGGATTCTGTTGGGGGTCTCTTCGGGGCGATCACGGAGGCCTCTGGGGGGCAGTTTTGGGGGCTCGCTGGGAGCATCTTGGAGGCCTCTTGGGAGCCTCTTGGGAGCCTTTCGAGGCTTCCTGGGTGCCTCCTGGGGGCCTCGTGGAGCCTTTTAGGAGCATCTTCGGTGCCTCTTGGGGGCCTCGTGGAGCCTTTTGGGGGCCTCTTGGGGGCCTGGGCCTCCTGGGAGCCTCTCGGGGCGGAGGGCTCGAAGTGTCCGTTTGGCTCCCCTGTCTGGGCACCTTCTTGGAGCCCCCTTGCTTGGTATCGCTCGGACGTGTGCACTTTTTCTCGGCGGGGATTAGTAAGGAGCATCCTGGATCATCCTGCGAAAAAAAACCACGCACGAAACCGACAAAAACACAGAGAATGGACGCCCGAGCGACGGGGAGCTTGGGGGCCTCTTGGGCCGTATTGCAGGCTTTTGGGGGCCCTCTTGGGCCCTCTTTGGCCCGTGTCGGGACCCTCTTGGAGGCCTCTTGGGGCGATCGTTGGAGCATCTTGGGCCGTTTGGGGGCGTCGGCAAGCTGAAAAGGCGAGAACGCCCAGATTCTTGAGAGATTCCAGGGGCAATCCGCGAATTTTGCCTCGTGGGGCTCTCTTGGGAGTCCTCTTCGAGGCCTCTTGGGGCGTCTTCCAGCCCTCCTGGGCCGTCTGGAGGCCGTAAAGACGTTTTGGACCGATCGTTCGGCGAACCGGGCTCCCCTTGGACCGTCTCGTTGGCCTCTTGGGGGCACTCTTGTCTCGTCTTGGGCTCGAATAGAAGAGATCGACTACAGAATTGATGCACCCCAGAATTAATTCCCTCGTCGAGCCGACGCACCAGATAGCAAATTGCTTTATAGATCTGCGGAGCAGGTTATTTTTGTAGACCCGACACAGATGTTCTCGGGCAGATTCGTTCTGCAGTCGACCCCTTGCACTGAGGATGGCTCCCGTAAGACGTATGGCTCGAGCCCTCCAGACTCGTCGGCTGCCCCCCGCGCGGCTGCGATGGTCGGGCGGCGCCCAACCCTCGCCGCTCTGGGCACCCTGGCGGCCAACATGCCCTGGCCGCTGATCCCGGGGTCGCGGGCGGCGTGGGGCTGGACGAGGAGACTTTCTTTTTCACCCCCCGGCGACAGCGGGCGTGACCGTGTGGGGGGAGAGGGGGGAGGGGGCCGGTGACGTCACGATTCGCGCCGGCGCTGTTCCCAGACGGTGCTGGACCAGGGGGGGGGGCCGGTCACGGGCGTTACCGCGAATAATAAGAGCATGGGCTCGAGTTTCTCGATCAAGTGCGACTTTGGCACCAACGTGCAGTGCGATACGGGCGAGACCGAGATCCTGCAGGGCCAGACCTGCACGGCCGCGTGCGGGTCTGGCCTGACGGCGATCGCGGGGAAGAGCAGGGCCCCCGAGGGAAGGGGGCCAGAGGGCGCTTCGCCTTTGCGGGGCCGTCGAAGAATGAAGGGGCCGGAGGGTGCTTCGCCTTTTCCCGGCGGAGGAAAAGGATCCATACCGCTGCCCTTCTCTCGTTTTCGCTTCTTCGCTTTTTCAGGCCCCCAGGGAGGCGCCCTCGTCGCCACCACTGGATTCGCTTCGAAGTTGGAGCCAGAACGCACCCGAGGAGAGGTCCAGGGAGTACAGGCCTCGAAGAACGATCCGGCATGAAGAGCTGGCCGGGGGCAAGGACAAGGGGGCCTTTGACGACCTTCGGGTGCTGCTAGAAGTGGGCAGACATGCGCTGTCATGACTTTTGCCCCAACCATCCTGTGGTGTTGGGTCCTCGTTTTGAAGAGACAGCGCCCAACGCTCCTCTTTCCTCCTTCCTTCCTTCCTTCCGTCCTTCCTTCCTTCCTTCCGTCCTTCTCCCCCTCCTCCCGCTCCTCTCATCCCTTGCACCCCTCACACGCTTGGCGGCCCCATGGGGAGCGCCACCGACGTCCCCAGTGGCTGCGTTCGCATGCGCCCACCGCACCCATGTCGACACACCCCTCACACGTGTCGTGGCCCCATGTGCAGCTCCACAAAGTGCCCGAGTGGTTGCATGCGCCCACCGCACCCATGTTTGGCACACCCCCAACACGTTCCGTGGCCCCATCGGGAACTCCACCGACGGCCCCAGTGGCTGCGTTCGCATACGCCCACCGCACCCATGTTTGGCACACCCCTGACACACTGCACCTATTTCGGCACACCCCTCAAACGCTCCGTGGCCCCATAGGGCATTCCACCGACGGCCCCATTGGCTGCTTTCTCATGCGCCCACCGCACAATTTTTGGCACACCCCTCACACGTTTCGTGGTCTTCTAGGGAGCTTTGCATAATGCGGTACATACAACGACGGTGCCCACAGCTGCACATGGTTGGCTCCTTCGCCTGGCTACTGTAACACGAGGCCCCCAGCAGTCCAGACCCTTTCCCCAGGGCCAGCTTCTCCGTGCGCGTCGCTGCTTGATGGTCCATGGGCAGAGAAGCCTCCCGCCCTGATCCCATGCCTCTACGACGCGAGCACGGCTGGGCCAGGGTCCGGAGTCTGGGCCCCCCCCGAGAGGCAGCCCGAAATCCCCGAGGCCCGAGCGAGCAAGCGGCGGCTCGTCGCAGCAGCGGCCTCCTGCAGCGCGCACCCGCGCGGGAGCGCTCCAATAACGGGCAGCCCGGGGCACCCGAGGTCCGAGCCGCCTTGGGTCCGAGGCGCGTTCGCGTCGTGAGCCGCTGGCAGCTTCCTGGCTCCAGCATGTTCGTTACTCCAGATTTCGTAGTAAAAGGGAGGGGGTCTCAACCCTCCCAGACGAGAAGTTTTAGACCCCCCCCCCTGGGAGAACCCTCCAAAACATCGTCCCCAGACCCCCCCAGGCCCTCCAAGATAGCCTGGAAGAGACCCCCCCGAAATGAGACCACCTCCCTTTTATTACGAAATCTGGAGTACGGTAGGTTCGCGTCGTGTCGACTCGTCGCGACCCCGCCGCGGGCGTTCAAGGTTGAACGCCGCCAGTGGCCCAGAATCGGCCTGATCTGGAACGATATGGCAATCGATAAGCCGCCGATCGTTCAAGGTTGAACGATCCACGCGATGTCAGAAACCAACGCTGGGGTCGTCACGA